ATGGAATAATGAATCTATTCATTCAAAAACTTCTTTTTGAAGGCTTTATTTATTTGCTATTTGTAGCATCACTGATTGTTCCGTTGATGCTTTTGTTTTGGCCTCCTTATTCTTTTTTCTATTGCAAAATACTGGCAGGTGGAAAAAGCATAGGATAGAAAAGATAATACATCATCGTGCTTCATGCTTTACTACCAACATAGTAAAAGTTGAGTTCTATCTATTAAAGTCTAGTACAATAGAAAAGATCTTAGAGACCCACAGCAATCGTCCACTTTGGTTATTATAAAATACTCCTTGTGCTATTAATCCAAAGCTACTGCATAGTTATTTAATTTCTGTGGCATCCTTGGTGTTCTCTGAGTTTGGTTGTTTGCTTGCAGATGTTTCATTGCCCAACTAGGTAACATCATCAGTGCTAGTGGGTTTGGAGTTTTCTCCCTGTTTATATACAGTAATTGGGTAATGAAATGTCTGCAAGCTCAGAGGGTACTAAGGGTTCCAGAGTTTGATCTTAAGCTACAAAGAGTCAGTTGGGCTAGCGGTTAAGGCACCAGGCTACAAACTGGGAGACTGTGAATTCTAGTCTTGCCTTAGCCATGAAAGCCAGCTAGGTGACTTTGGGCCAGTCATTCTCTCTCAGCCCAACTCACAGGGTTGTTGTGGTGGGGAAAAGAAGGAAGGTGTGTTGCATATATTTGCTGCCTTATTTGTAAAAATTCTAGTAAGCCATTTCCATTCATTGTTTGATTTCTTTTCTACTAAAGAGGGGGTGGGGAAATAGAAGAACATAGGGAGACAATAATGTCTGGACCTCCATAAAATATCATGATCGTAGCATAAGAACTGGACTCAAAGCACCTAAGCTGCCAGGTGTAAAGAACAGAGGAAAAGTTCCAGACTCATTTTGCAACCAGAATTATGATTCTGAAGTTAGCTTTGCCACACATCTCTTAATCTGCATCATCATGTTCCATCTATAGAATTGGAGAAGGGATGTCATGATCGAAAAATCAGGTGAGGGACCTTGACACCTGAGCAAAGCTTAGCTGATATCTCAAGGCGGCAGAACCCTGAGTAGCACAATGACGTTGCACCTGCCAGACATTACCATAAAGAAGGCCAATCACTCGGTGCTTCCTTCCCTTTGTTTATCAAGGGTTTATTAGCAGCTGATAAGAGCTTTGGAGCTTCTGAAAAATGGGGGAACTGTATGAGTTCACCGGTGAGTGCCAAAGTTGGGGCCATTTCTCTCTGGCCAGCTAATGAAATCTGGTACAAAGGTTGGCCACCTTGTCATTGGCAACAGGAGAAGCATACTGTATTCATCTAAAGGGCAAGGACAGCAATAGGCAAGGTGATGATGCAAATGTCATGCAGAGGGGTGCAAGATTTTCTGCTTCTGTTTTTCCTGGTGCTTATTGGAGTGGTTTGAGGCTGTTTCACTGTTTCATGTTTTAAGTCCGGTGAGCCTGTTGCAGCCTTGTACTGTCTTTTTGATATACTTTCCAGCTAAAATGACATGCAAGCACATACAGATAGTCCTCGACTTATGACAGTTTGATTCTATGGTGGACCCCGAAAATAGGATTTATACCTGAATTTGAAATTCTGATGTCCACCTCTCCCCCCACCCCCAGCGTCACATGACCATGTTTTGGGTGCTTGGCCACCAGCCCACATTTACAGGCATTTGCAGAGCCTTGTGGTCAAGTTACTGCAATTTACAGTGGTTTTGTCGGAAACCAGTATTTATTTCTGGTTTCTCGTGAAAAACCACCCCATAGCGAAAATAGGTTTGCTTAATGACTGTGGTGTTCAGTTAATAACTTTACAGTTACCACGTTTGCTTAACAACTGCCCACAGAAAAGATAGTAAAGTTGGACGTGGCCTTGTGGTGAACCGTTTTTAAGACCATCCCAACTTATGATCAAAATTGTGGGCTCAGTTACACTCCTAAGTTGAGGACTCCCTTTAGTGGGCTTTTGGTAATATGGATCAGCTCTCTAGGGCATCACAAGAATTGAGACACGGCATTGGATGCCCAAGTTCTACATCCTGATATAATGAATACAGGTGGTTAAAACAGCCTCCTCTACTTTGATACACCCCAAGTATATTGAATGACAACTTCCATCATTTCCAGCCAACAAAACTATTGCAGAGTAGAGGTGGCTCAAACTATTCTCCAAAGCACCAGAAGGCAAGACAAGAAACAATGGATGGAAACTAACGAAGGAGAGAAGCAGCCTAGAACTAAGGAGAAATTTCCTAATAGTGAGAACAATTAACCAGTGGAATGGCTTGCCTTCAGAAGCTGCCATCATTGGAGGTTTTTAAGAAGAGACTGGACAGACATTTGTCTGGAATGCTATAGGGTCTCCTATTTGAGCAGGGGGTTGGACTAGAAGACCTCCAAGGTCCCTTCCAACTCTGTTATTCTGTTATGTCATTCCCACATGCCATTTACAAAAATAGTGACAATACGGGTAGAATAGGGATTGGAAATGGAGACTGGAAAGCTTCTAATCAGTAGAGTTTTCTGTCGATTGAATGGATTGCACTTTAATTTAGCAGTGGGGAAAGGCCCTTAGTCTGATGTGTGAATCCAGATTATCTTCCTTTGTCCTGTGCCTGCAGTCATGCCCTTTGAATATTTTGTCTTGGACATCAGGATTCATTGGCATTATCTTTAGCATGCTAAATATATTATATTTATTGCATGCTAAATGTAATGTATTCTCTGTAGTCTGGTCTTACTGGCTGAAAAAGAATTCATGTTCTAGCCCTTCTGGGAAGTGGTAGATTAGTAGAATTGATCTACTGAGTCTACTAATACTTTGGGATCAAACAGTTTGTTTTTTTCCCACGGCTCAGTAAAAATTTCCACCAAAAGATAGCTACTTTAGAATTAACACAGAGATTTTCCTCGGCTTCTTGCAACATTGCTCCAAGCTAGATTGCAAGCCAGAAGCCTAATTCAGACCCTAACTAAAAAGCCACACTAGGCCTAACATTTAAGGGGCATGTTTTGAAAAAGACAAGAGTCTTCTGAGATGATCAATGGTTTCTAGAACTCCAGGAGACCGGGAGGGGAGGTAGTGCTATCCCAATGAAAACAGGTGCTTTGAAGCCATGCTTGGGATTAAGCATGTAAAATAAATGCAGAGGTGGAATTCCAACATTCTTCCCAGTTTATTAGCAGCTGATAAAGGCTTTGTAGTTCCTGAAAACTGGAGGAAGAGTGGTGTTCTTCTTTAATCACTATTTTTTTAGGGATATACCTGTCATGCATTCTATAGACATCAAAACTTGTCAAGTAGGACTATAACTACATTCATTTTACACACACACACACACACACACACATATACACATACCGTATTTTTCTGTGTATAAGACGCTATTTTTTCCTGCAAACACCCTGCTCAAAAATCAGGTGCATCTTATACAAGTGCAGTGTCTTATACACGGAAAAATAATGGTAACTTCCGCAGCCCAGGGCGTGCCTGTGTGGGTTGCCATGCCGCCTGGTGCAGGTGTCAAGCCCCTGTGGGCTTGCCACTAATGGGAGGGGGGAGGGGGCAAGATCGGCGGCCGGCCGAATTTCCGGATTTGCCGGCTCATGCCAGAGCATCTTATACAAAGGTGTGTCTTATAGACGGAAAAATATGTGTATGTATATGTGTTTTTCAAAATTTGGATTGCTAACAAAGAATTAAGGGAGAACTGGAATAGCCATTTCGAACTTTTTAGTTCTTTTCAACCAGACATACCCTTCTGAGGTTCGAACCTGGGCTGCCTGCATGTTAGGCAGATGTATTAACCTCTAGACCACAGGCTCTTTCTCACTTTGTGTTCTCCCATATTTGGGCCGGCAGGGTGCACCAAACTCAAGATATGTATATGTATATGTATATGTATATGTATATGTATATGTATATGTATATGTATAGGTATAGGTATAGGTATAGGTATAGGTATAGGTATAGGTATAGGTATAGGTAGGTCTTGGCGTATTCGGGTCTTTTCCCGTGTAAGATTGAGAGTAACTTGGCGACGTTTCAACGAGGTCCCACTCGTCATCTTCAGGCTGGGGTCTTCGGCTTCGTGCCTTTGTGCAAGCAAAGTGTGATTGGAGCTGCCATCTCAGCACAAACACGAAGCCGAAGACCCCAGCCTGAAGATGATGAGTGGGACCTCGTTGAAACGTCGCCAAGATACTTTCAATCTTACACGGAAAAAGACCCGAATACGCCAAGACCTGCATACCTGTACCCGTGAAAATCTACGAAAACAAATATGTATATGTATATACACACACATACACACACATTCGCAGCGCTCCTTGTGCACATGATGTTATTCATCTTTTATAATAGTCCTCTTATTTGCTCCCAAAGGTACTGTTTACCATGAAGTGCACCACAGCAAGATTTTTTTAAAACAAAAAAGGGCTCATGCACAACCCTCTTTTCCTGTGAATTCCTCTTCTGTCAAGTTTTTCCCAGCCCTGCTCTCAATGTTACGGCATTTCAGCAGCCCCATCTGGAGCAAAGGGCACTCCCACCTCCCTCCACATCCTCACTGTTTGGGGCTCAGTCTTTCCTTTCCCCAGGCACCCATTCCCACTCATTTGCTAAACTCTGGCTCTCTCCCCAGCTGGATAAAACCTCCCTCTGGGCACCAGAAGGCAGCCAGCCAATCACGGAGGGACAAAGGGCAGGACCAAGGCTGCCAGAATGACAAATGCCGAGGCCGACACTTGGGAAAAGCCAGTTGTTGAGCTGAGATCTCTTAAGGGAGAGTCCTCCTCTTCTGGCAACACCAGCAGGTCCTGAAAGTCTCAGAGGTGCCAGAGCTGACTGTCTTCTCCTGATTCTGGGCAGACTGCCAAGCACCCTGGATGCAGCAGCGGCACAATTCATGAGTTCCAGGCACTGCCACTAGACTTCCTAACAACATAATTCTTCACTGCATCTTGCTACTTGGGTGCTTCATGGCTTCCACCTACAGCCTCCAAGGAAGCTGGACTCCTCTAGCTGCACTGACTTTACTATGGACTTCTTTGGCTTGGGTTGAAGGAAAGCCAGGGTGTCCTTCCTGCAGGATGCCTCCACTGGAACCCAGTGCCGAGAAAGCCTTCCTGATTGAAGTAGCCAAGCAGCAGATACTCCAGAAACTGAACCTGAGTGAGAGGCCCAACATCACCCACCCTGTGCCGCGTGTGGCGGTGGCCAATGCCCTGCGGCGGCTACACATGGGCAAAGGCTGGACAGATGGGATGGGGCACTTCTCCAGCTGGGAAAAAACAGAGTCGGATGAGCAGGGGTACGAGATCATTAGTTTTGCAGAGACAGGTGAGTGCCCATAGGTCTTCCAAAGGTGCAGGCCAAGGACCGAATACGCTAGACCAGAGAGCTCGGATCATTTGTGTTTATGTTCCTCCGCTCCATAATTGCTACATATAAAAGTGTGCTTGGAGAGGAAAGGCTACAAATTACTCCTGAACTCTATCCCATTGTTTAGGTTAGAGCCTGACTAGGTGCTGGAATACATCAGTTGCAAAAGGGGAAAAAAGGGATGTGTGTTTTGGGTCTACTGATCAATGGGGACAGATTACACTCTTCTCATCAGATCTAGCTTCCTGCGGCATCTCAGATCTACACAGAGACCACTCCCTCTCGCAAAGAACTGCGTATTTGTCTGGTCAGAAATATGTGCACTTGGCATTGTCGTAACTTTATCCAACCTGCTGAATCTTTAAAATGTGCTAGATCAGAAGTTTTCAAACTTTTTGAAGCCTTGGAACCTGTAAGTTAAAAAAGAATTGAAAAAAAAAATCTCAGTATCCCTGATCAAGGGATAATGTTCTGGTGATTAAAAAAAAAAAAGACTGTATTCAAATGGACTTTTTTCCCTTTAGTCTCTCATGAAACTTTATCGTGTTGAAAGACTACAATTCCCATTTACCTGTTCCAGTGCAGCCATTGGGGTTGGGAAATATTATGTTACCATTGCAGGTTTTGCCATAGTGAAAAAAAGAGAGAAGCTAAAAACCAAATGATCAGGAACACCAGGAGGACAAAACAATCAATTCTGTCCCCTCACAGTCATTGAGGATTCTATCACATTGACTTACTACCTTTTTTTAAAAAAAAATAAATGTTTCTTTCCTGCAACTCTATTTTTGGTTTGCTTAAAATGCAACCTGAGATGAAATAATGGGATGCAGGTGGTAAAAAGGATAAAGTCAAAGGGTGGCTTTCTTAAATTTATATAAACCAATATCTTTGAGAGCCAACAGACAGATTTAGAAGACGGTTGCCTGTCATTTTCTCTTCCTCCATATAGAAAGCAGGTAGTTGCAGGAATATTCTACACAGTTGTGTAGACATTGTACTGGATTAATGTTTCATGTATATGCAATTATTTCATTCAGTGATGGATTTTTATATCAATGTATGACGGAACTGTATGGTGAACAGGTTTAATATGTACATGACCATCTCATACTGGGCAAGCTTTACTATCAAGCTTCTGAGCACATTATTGTAAGGTTGTTTACAATTTAGGACCCATATTTTGTGATGATGATGATGATGATGATGATGATGATGATGATGATGATGATGATGATGATGATGATGATGATGATGTTGGAAGGACCTTGGAGGTCTTCTAGTCCAACCTCCTGCTCAGGCAGGAAACCCTATACTATTTCAGACAAATGGTTGTCCAGTCTCTTCTTAAAAACTTAGAGTTTTGGAGCATTCACAACTTCTGGAGGCAGGTTGTTCCACTGATTAATTGTTCTAACTGCCAGGAAATTTCTCCTTAGTTCTAGGCTGCTTCTCTCTTTGGTTAGTTTCCATCCATTGCTTCTTGTCCTGCCTTCAGGTCCTTTGGATTAATATATGTGGGGCTAAATGCAAATGTAGCAAATAAGTAAGGACCAAAACAACCCTCATTCACCCCTCAGAACAGGGGTCTTCAAACTTGGCCCTTTGATGACTTGTGGACTTCAACTCTCAGAATTCCTCAGCCAGGCATGCTGGCTGAGGAATTCTGGGAGTTGAAGTCCACAAGTCATCAAAGGGCCAAGTTTGAAGACCCCTGTGTTAGAAGAACTTGGGCTCTGGTTTGGCGCTGGCAGCTTAGAGGCTGATACTTATTTTTGCCTTAACTCTTTTCTCCTCTGCAGAGCCTTCAGGCCTCCTTCAATTCCAGCTCACCCATACAAGAGGCCAAGCCACGCACGTCCTGAAGGCCCAGTTGTGGCTGCACCTTAGGGCACACCAAAACATCACAATACAGATTTACGTCGCAGGACAGCCACGAGTAGTGCTGGGACAGCAGCAGCTGGGAAGTCAGGGGAGGAGCGGCTGGCACTCTTTTTCCCTGATGCCAGCTTTGCAGAACTTCTTCGAGCACGAAGACAAAACTTTACGCTTGGAGTTGCAGTGCGAAGGCTGCCATTCCAACATTGTGTCTTTGATGACAACCAGTAGCAACTCTCATCAGCCGTTCCTGGTGGTGAAGGCAAAGATAAAAGAAACTGGCCACTGGGTCACCAAGCGCAGCCTGAGCTGTGACCAGAACTCAGAACTGTGCTGTCGAAAAGACTACTATGTAAATTTTCGGGACATTGGTTGGAATGACTGGATCTTCAAGCCAGAGGGCTATCAGATAAATTATTGCATGGGCGAATGCCCCATGCACCTGGCAGGTGTGCCTGGGGTGGCAGCTTCCTTCCACACTACAGTCTTCAATTTGGTGAAAGCCAACAACATCCCCATTGCGGGCCATTCCTGCTGTGTCCCCACACAGCGACGGGCCCTTTCTCTGCTGTACTTTGACCCCAATAGCAACCTCATCAAGACAGACATTCCTGACATGGTCGTCGATGCTTGTGGCTGCAGCTAAAGATGGGATGGTAAGCAGAGAGAAAACAAAAAAAAAGGACAGCGAGTAGGAAATGGGTTACTTCCTTTCTGCTTCCCTTTGGACTCTCATGAACATCCCAGGACTCTGAGCCAAACTGAAGGGGTGGTATTATCATATGGACTCTTTTCAAAAGAGCAACAGTGTTTGGTTTTTCAGAGAAAACAAGTTACACTAAGATGTAAACGAGCCTGTTTTCTTACCATTGTATAACGTATAATGTAGTGCTATGCAGGGCTGCGACTAGGCCTCTAACCCTCAGAACCCTGTATTTGTCTTCCTTTCTGAAGTTGCTACTTGATAGACCCTCCAAGCTGTTTCCCTACCTCTTCCCACCCTGCTCCCAGTAGCTTCATTCACCTCTCTTTTCCCAATCCTGTTCTGTGGGCGGAAGAGTCCCACAGAAATGGGTCCGGAATGTATAGGGTTCTGGATACATAGGGGTGTACATAGGCTTGCCTCCGATGCCCTCAGCATGTCAAGATACAGTGGGAGAGCAGGAGACACAGGCAAGAGCTTGAATCACACACATCTTCTCAAGCCTTACTAGTTGCCCCTAAAGGCAGATCTCATGGTGCATTTAAAAGTTCTCCTTGTTGCTCTTCTCATTGTCATGGTGTTCTTCTCAACCCAAGGCTCCGCATGGACTGGGCCAAGTTTACTTGGGAACTCCTTCACTGGATGGGCAGAAAAAGAAGGAAACCAAGAAGAGCTGCCCAGATCCATACCCAAAGGACTCTAAATGTGTTTTGACTTTTGTACTGTGTGTGAGATTTATTGCATTTCTGTTAATGTATCTATATTATTTTATTTTATTTTGGAATGACATTAGTAGCAAAACAAGTTTCAATAAAAAATAAAATAAAATAACAATTCAGTGTATTCTGAGAAATGTGTGGAACGCTGGTAAATGGGTATCCTGAGCAAAAGTGAACTTCAAAAGCATATACTCTCCTTTACAAGAATCCATCCTTAGAATTCAACCACAGCTTCACTTTTGTTCCCTTTGCTCCTGCTTGGTGTTGACAAGTTTGTCCACCTCCCATCTCCTGCTGCACCAAACTTTGTCACTAAACCAGTTTTCCACTGTCTATACATTTAGCAAAATTCCCGACTGTAAACTCTGAGCTTTCCTGCAGTGGTGGGATTCAAATATGTGAACAACTGGTTCTCTGTGTGGATGTCACTTCTGGAAGTCCATTCTGGGCCTGGGCAACAAGAAATTAGCTACCGGTTCTGCCGAAGTGGTGCGAACTGGCTGAATCCCACCACTGCTTTCCTGTCACTCCACCATGAACTTTCATCACAATGAAAACTGTCCTTGAGGTCAAAGTTGGCCTATCCACTAAAGTGATACTCTCACTGACAAATTGAAGTAAAGTATGTGTGGCTTAGGCCTATGCAGAGAGCCAGAAAGATCCAAAAAGGGAGGGAGGGAGGAAGGAAGGAATGGAGGGAGGGAGGAAGGGCAGCCCTAGTCTGCATCAACAGAGTATAATTTTAACTCTTTCTAGTCAACAATAATCAAACTTCACCTTGTCCTTCCATTTTAGGGAGCACATTAACTAACTAGAGCCTGCAGCTAGAGGAAAGCTAGCAAAATAATAAAGGAAAACTGAAAGGAAAAACTTGTGAGTAACACTGTAAAGATTAAACCAGGAGGAGAGAAGACTGAATAAGACATGATCATTGTCTGAATAGTTATCATGTAGAAAATGGGCCAGATTCGTTCAGAATTGTTCCAGGAGACAAAGCATGTTTAAGTTACCAGGAAGTTAGTTTGAGTAGGACATCAGGAAGAATTCCCATAATGGTAAGAGCTGATGGATGGATGGATGGATGGATGGATGGATGGATGGATGGATGGATGGAAAAAAGGAAGGACGACTGTTCTAGCTGCTTTAATAGTGAATTCCTGCAGTGGGCAAGGGGTTGGACTACATAATCCCTAAAATCCTTTTCTACTCTTAGCTTTTATGTTTTTATGAAAAAACAGGACTACTTCTGACCCAGATGAGTTTTCTGCTGCTTCGGCCAACACAGGGTTTCAAATGACCATATTTGAGTGAGGGGCACCATTTTGTCTACTCTTGTACCACTTTGCCTACTTCATAAATGTGGAAAGGAAGGAAGAGAACCTTGATGGAGATATGCAAAAGCTATTTCCTAGGCAAAACAGGCCAGAACATTTTTTTTAAAGCCTAGAACACAGATAACATTCAGAAGCACTCACACAGATGCCTCTCTAATTCAGTGACCTATAAGAAAGAAGCAAAGGCACAGCACAATCAGACTTGTACGATTCAGATGTTATAGCCAATCATAATAAACCCTAGTTTTAGCCTTATTGTGGAGATGGTTTCCTGGTCTGCCTAATAGGACTGACAATGGCAATTTGCAGGTGCTGACAACCACTCCCTTCAACACTGCCACCATGTTAGATATATGAGAGCTTGAGTGAAATTGGCATGAATTCTGTTTGTTTTCCCTTTTAACCAGAGTGAATGATCACAGGCATTGAGGAAGGGTGCACAATGAAGCAGCAGAAAAGCATCAAGGCTCCTTGCAAACCACCATCACCTCTACCATATTGGTGACGTGTCATTTGGGGCAACCTGCAAGTTGCCTAGACATCCAACCTAGATTCACTTGCCATCTACAGCCACCCAACAATAAACAAGATATCAACTTGCTGGGAAGTATATGGAAATTTCAGAGCAAATCTCTTGTTTCAAGCAAATATATCTCAACAATGTCCGCAATAAGCCATAAACATTTCCTTCCACCCAAACAAATAAATATCTAGAGATCTTCCTAGTTCATCTGACAGGTACTCTTTCTGAATGGTTCTGGGGATGTCTAAGAATTGGTTTGCTTTTCAATCGAAAGAAAAGCTGTGCAGGGCCTAATAAACACAATTTTGTTCTATCGCTCTGTGAAAGAAATGCTGGTCAAAGTCCAGTGTTGCATGGCAGCTCAGAGGTCCACGATCATCTCTCAAGCCAAGTTGGTTCCCCTCTCTCTCATGGCCATGGATCCGTTGCTTAGCAAAGTACAGCACAGAGAGCAAAGGGCAGCTTTCATCAGCTAGGACTCTTTGTGCACTATCTACAGCTCTGGTCACTCTGTGCATGAGCAGATCACACTGTGATCTGTTTGCTGGATGAGGAAGGCTCAGACAGACCCTGATACTCGCATCAGAGGCTTACCTCTACTTGCAATGTGCAGGTCCCTTTGAGTCCCCAATGGCTTATTAATTCACAAGTTCAAAAGACAACTCAAGCCTAGCAAAGAGCTAACCTTTCTAACCCTCCCCCCCCAAAACAAGTGGGATATTCCATAACTAGAAGCCTGTCCAACTAAAACTGTTGCTGTTGCATAATGCATATTAATGAATAATGGCATACACATCTGATAGAACGCTGGGTTGAAAGAATTGGGCTGGCCACTACTAAGTGCCCTGCCATCACGTTGAGCGTTCTCTAGTGCCTAAATATTATGGTAAGAGAGCATGTCTAGTTCCCAATTTTTTAAAAATTGTTTTTGGCTGTTATTGCTATGAGGATGTGATGCTTGATAGAGTTATTTATACAAAGAAAGTGTTCTCCTGGACAAGGTTCAATCCTATTTGAGATGAAATACTCCCCTTGGGGTGTGAATGTACACTTTTGAGTCTTAGTATGAGCTATATACTTGTATAGTCGCAATTTAGAAATGCTGGGAGTTGGATGCTGTAGAATTTAATAAATAAATAAACACTTGACAGCGATTGGATTGATACAAGAAGTTAACTCAATCTATAGGCTAACTAGGGTGTATAAATTCAGCCACCATACTTTATGCTTAGGAATGGTCTCCTCAAGTATAATGTTCGAATCCAATTCAATTTTTTTGTGCTCAGACAAAGCTTTGGGCTTAATATAACTCAGCCAACTCATAGGAAAAATGCAGGTAGAGCTTGTTGTAACTGAACATTTATCATTCAGTTCAGGCTGCTAATAATTTGCTTATTAGCAATTGCACTCAAATCATGACATATTACTGTATCATTTTTGTGCATTGCCCATTAGGTTTGCATGAAGATAATTCAAGTTTGTCTTAAAGGAGAGAGTTCTCTGTTTATGGAACTGTATTTATTGAGCATAACTGATTTAGATAAGGAATCATTTTGCTCAGGTTCATCACCCATGGCTTCTTGACAAAATTTTGCAGATGGAGATTGGACAGACATTGAAAAAAATAACGATGGTGATGTAATATATTTATACCACTTCCTGTAAAAAAAGCACATCAAAGCTATTCTCAACTTAAAACACAAAAACAGCATAAAAATTTATGTAGTAAAATGAATGGGGGGGAACCCATCCATTTAATAATCATTCAGAAAAGATCTGCATGAAAAAAAACCAGGTTTTCAACATCCATCTAAAAGTTAGATGGATGTTAACAATAGGTGCCTCATCAATTTCAAGAAAAGGATTTTAAAATTTATGTGCCACCACAGTGAAAGACTACCCACGGCCCTCTTGGTTCTGGGCATGAGCAACAGGATCACCTCCAATAATCACTCAGGTCTGTACAGTAATGTTGATGGTAATCTGTTAGGTATCAGGTGTTAAACACAAAGAATCAGGACCATTCGTAAGGTTGCAGCCAGTGGTGGGATTCAAATATGTGAGCAACCGATTCTTTGTTTGGATGCCATTTCTGGAAGGCCATTCTGGGCCTGGGCAACAAAAAAATAGTTACAGTTTCTGCCAAAGTGGTGCAAACTGGCTGAATCCCACCACTGGTTGCAGCGTAGAAGAGTTATTCTACACAAGAACTAAAGTTCAACACTAAATTGGCACCAGATAAGGATCAACAGAATTCAGGAGGGATTGGACTTGGAGTGCTTGTGGGAACACCACAACTTTAAACTGATGTCATGTTTAACTCCACCATCGCCCCAGCTCTGCCTGCTCTTCTCCTACAACTGGTTC